TGCCCCAAATAATCTATATTTTGGATCCCCAGAGGTGTAGTCATGATGTGTTATGCTGTGATCCGCATGGCTGGCAGTTCGAAACCACCAGCAGCTCCTTGGGAGAAAGACAGGGCTTTCTACCCCCGTAAACAGTTACAGTCTCAGAAACCCACAGGGGTCGCTGAGTTAGTGACTTGATGGTAGTGAATTTGGTTTTGGAGTAGCAGGCATATTTTGGGTACGTTGTAAAATTGGCAGTTAAAAGAACCAATTTTGAAATATCACATTATCTCTTAGCAGCATTTAGACTTTTAGAAATGTACTTGCTTACCTCAGTTTTCCCACCTGTAAATGGGGATAATAATAGTTCCCACTTTATAAATGAAATAACAGATATTAACTACTTAGCATAATGACTGGAAAATAGTCAGCATACAATAAATGTTAGGTACACTAAGATATAAAACCACATATTTGAATTTTAGCCTTCAGAGACCATTTGTTGATCTCTGAAGAATCAATGCATTCTTTTCTCCTAATTAGAATCAACTATTTGATAATTTTGCATTATATGACTATAAGTCATTCAACTTAATTTTAACAAGTTAGGGGTCAGGAACTCTTCTAAGTTTTGTTCATATGGTATGTAATTAAGTCCTTCTAATTGCTATAATAAATGTAGCCCTGCTAACATAGTAGGTTATGAGTTGGGCTGCTAACCACAAGTTCCGCAGTTCATATGTTTATAACATTTGATGGAAGGGAAGCCCATACCAATTAAAAAGAAGTTGCTTTGTACATCACAAAGTATTTTGCTTTCATTTTAGTTTGAATATAAAAGTAATTGAATTGATGGAAGTGGTTTATTTAACTGCAAGTGATTGGATCAGAGATTGGTTAAAAAAAGACAGGACCTGCCCGATTCTCCTGTAAGCCAGGTTGCTCATTCCCACTTTATAGTCTTTCTTATCTGTCCTTTGAATAACTCTCACTGCTGCCAAGTCATTGCTGACTCCTAGCAACCCCAAGACTGTAACAGTTGAGGGGAATAGAAAACCCGGTCTTTCTTTGATGGAACTTTTGGTGGTTTTGAACTGCTGATCAAGAGCATCGTAGCCTGAAAATGAGAAGTGTTGGGATAGCTTCATTTTTCTATCTCCTCTGAATAAGGTGATGGAAAACCAGAGATCTCCCCACATTTCTCCTTTTCAGTGGGTTCCTGGTTTCACTCCATTTCCCAGTCCTCGCTGTCCCCTTCACACCTCGTCACGAACACATACCTCTGGTGAGTTCTGCGGACATCACTGATGAGGCATTTATTTCTCAAAGATGGAAGCCCCAGCTGCACAACTGTGAAAATTAGTTCTGTTTTTAAACTGCCTTTTTTTTTCCTTTGAAAAATTGTTGCAGTGCCACAGATTTCTGGGAGGATGGGGACATAAGTGCTGTCTGTGTGAATGCAGTGACAGCCATGGTGTGATGTGAGGGCTCAGAGCACACGTTAAGTGTTTTTCCTCCTGCTGGTCCAATGTCTGATGGGTATTAAGTCGGCTTTGGGAAGAAAAGTCAATTTGGGCACTGAGTGGATACTTGAAGGGTATCAGGAGTTTGGTAAATGGCAACAGAGGTGGACATATCTGACCTTCTCTGGCTTCCCTATTGCCATGAAGCAGAGTGAGGCATGCCTTTCCCCTCCATCCTTCTTTATACTGTTCTGACACCAACCATCCCTCTCATGGCACTCCATTTCTGTGCTGGGCTCAATAATTCATTGCAATGACCACACAGGACTCACCAACTAAGACGCTTGATGAAGGTGGTTTATGAGGGAGGGGATCAGTGCAGAGCAAGGGGCGACAGTCATTGGTCCCCGACAACAACTCTCCTCAGCTAGCAGCCAAGTTTCTCTCTGGTTCACAGTCTCTCAGTCAGGTGGTTCCTTGGCTTTGCCAGCCCACCTGTTGCTCTGCCTCACAGTTCTGTAGCATGAGGCCAGATGGGAGAAGGTACAGTCCGAGAGCTGCTGCTCTGAGTCTCTGCCACCTTCTCTGGTGCACCTGGTCTCAACAGCCTCAGCCATTTCTGACAGAGATCTTGGAAGTGCTCTTCCAAACGGTCCGGTGATGATCCTGTGTCCTAGGTGGCTCTTATATATTGAGGAATACCTTTGACAGAGGTGTGGTTTATCTTTCAGCTGACCATATTCCCAAGGAAAATGAAGACTGGCGTCTTAAATCCACCTACTACTACAGTAGTCTTAAAGATGTCCACAAGGAAACAAAGGGGGTGATTTGGTTCACATGCTCTACTCAGGTCACAACCTAACCCCACTTTAATCCCGGACAGAGAATTCCGATCCCTCCTAAACGGGATCATAACCACAGGCACGGAGTCTACAACTGTGTACATCACAGAAGGACTTCTGGCTAGAATGGCCATACTAGTTGATTATCATCTCAAGGAGCAACAACACGTAGAACACTTCTAAGCATCTTGCATCGGACCAGTCCCAGTGTATTTATCGTGAGCAGGGCCGCTTCACCCTCAGGAGCAGAGGAAGGGTTCCAGCGGAGGTACAGATGCTGCAACCACTGAGTCTACTGATAACATCGAAGTACTGCTCCACTGAGCCCGTTCTTTGGAGAAACAAAGCCTTCTGTGATTAGTCCCAGTGGATGGCACATGAAACAACCAAGTCTTTTGTCTGACACAGTCCTTTGAATAAAAGCCCTTATGTAACATACTGTAATTCACCTGTGTTTACTTAAAATGGCCATGTTCAGCCCTCAGAGAAGTATTTAATCCTTATAGCTCCCCCATCTCCTTTTTTTGGGTGATTCTAATTGGATAAGTGCAAAGTCCACATTTCTTTTAGCTTAGAAATCAGTTTCTGGATAGTTGGATAAAGAAAGAGCTCACACAGATGAATACAGATGTTGACAAAAAGGATGAGAACAAACACACAGTGGTATCTACCACTTATTCAGTTCTCAATTTCTCTGAAACATCTGGGAACTTCCTTTGTGTTTAGCTATGGTGGTTCATATGGAGAGTGTATAGTTTTAAGAAATGGGTACTCTCTTTGTTTGCATGGCTAGATACAAATCTCTTTCAGGCAATGGTTTTGTTCTCTGTCACCTCTGGGAAATGAGATACTAAAGCTCTAGAGACCATTTCTGGGCAGATATTAAATCAATACTGATCTAATGTTAAACCTCTTAATACATAAAGAATCTGGTCCAAAGGTACAAATTAAAAGCACACTGAGAAAAAGTAAATGTTTACACCTCTTCAGTTCACAGAATTGAATGAAGCCAGGTTTTGTTGTAAGTATGAATGTACATTAAAGGCTAATAGCTGTTTAGGGTTGCAATACAGTGCACCCAGGGTTTGGCCTGCAAAGCTGCCCTCAGCATTGATGATGGCAGGGGCCTGCACTCCTAAGAGTCTTCTGGAAAAGGGAATTTTAAAACATCCTCTCCCTGCCATTCTAGGAATATGGGACATGAAAACGGGACCCACTGGCTTGAGTGATAAATGATTCCATTTAAAATGTTACAACATGGATGAACCTTGAAAGCATTACGCCGAGTGAAATGAGTGAGTCACCAAAGGACAACTGTTCCATGGTCTCGTTTATATGAAATATTGAAAAGAAAAATATGTATGGAAACTAACAGGGGAGGATCGAGGAAGAGAGGGAGAGCCACTGTTTCAGGCCTTGGAATTTCTGTTCACAGGGTTGCTAGTCAGAATTCACTCCATGACAGCTGAGTGTTTTGTTTTAAAGTTTCTGTTAAGGGTGATAGAAAAATTTGGAACCTATTTAATATGAACACAATTAAGACCACTGACTTGTATGTCTAGAAAACGATGAAATGGCAAATGCCTTGTCAATATATATTTCTTACATACACACAGAAAGTTACATGAGCATTATACAAATACATTTGTGCATTGTAAGTTTATATTACATCCAAACTTGTTTTTAGCTTTTCACACTGAACTACACAGCTATAAAGATTTTTCAAATATTAAATAAGTGAAGTAAAACAGTCATTATGAAAACACAATCAGCTACTAATTTTCCCATCTTACTTCACTTTTTATGCATTTTCTGTCAACCATGTAATTCCCTGTTTCTATAATATAAACATACAGAGCACAAATATATACTTTAATAATGCTTAAAATAAATCTGTAAATAGCAAGGACAAGTATTAGGTACTTATTAATTTTTGGTATTTAATATTTTTAAAGTGTTTAAACTACATATAACAGGATATTTCATATTCTCTCATATTTCAAAGGAAAGATAATAGAAGAAAATTTCTTTGAAAAATAAGACCTTCAGTTATGAGCAAGGAAAAAATGCTAAACCTAGAAACCAAAATATTTTACTAGAACACCAGAGAAAAACGAAAATAACAGTTATTGCTGAATTTTTAATTCAGGCTAAGAGAATACGTTCTGATAAAAAAACATGTAACTGTATAGTGTTTATGTTATTATCAAATATCACATAAAGACTTTAGGTCCATTTGGGTTATAACGACCAATTTTGGATATTAACCGCTTCCTGGAAAACAAACCACTTTAAACTTCATTAATGATACAATAATTCTGAACAGAGAATGCCATACTTTTAAAAAAGTTACAATTGAATGCAATTATGTTACTCTCAACAACAGTGGAAAACCACTCTACTAAAAAGCCATCAGGATAAGAATTTTCACTTACTGAGTTTTTATATGTGCCGAGTACTGTCTTACATTTATAAAAAATGTGACCTATTCTCTGCCAGGAGTTTTCGGCAGTGTGAATGGTTTAACAAGCTTGACTGCTACCCGAAAAGTTGTGGCTTGAGTCTGCCTACCGGTTACTTCTGAGCGGGGTCACTGAAAACCTTCTGAAGTTCTACCCAGGTCTACTGACACATAGCTTCTTCATGAGTTGAAATCAACTCAACAGCATGTGATTTCTTTTTTTTTTAAACAGTAAAGTATATATTGTATAGAGTTTTGGGGGAAAATTTAAGTGTGAAGAATAAATTAAAATAAGCAATAATTCCATTTCTTTTTAAAAAATTACAATTACATGATTAATTTTTAAACATAATTGATGCCAATAACACAAATCTAATGTTATCCAGGGGAGAACTGATTCACACAGATTATTAAACACCACAATCTATCCTTGAATCTCTCATGTCAACAGCAGAGCAGTGTGTTACAATTTGGGGGGCATGCAAAGATGTTTGTAGAAAAAGCTTAGAATTTGCTTCCAAGCATCTACCTGGGCCTTAGAATGAGCTCTGGGCTCCCCCACCCCAGATCACAATCTTGTCCAGGGCTCTGTGCACAGAAGCGGGACACATGGGGAAGTAAGGTGGCTCTAAGCAATGTCCAGCCCCAGGGTAGGAGATTATCAGGGGCATTTTCTTCCCGTGGGTCTGTAACCGTTCAGCAGCCAGTTGGGCATAGAATTCACTTCTCCAGTTATGGTCATCTTGTCCAACAATGAAGAGGATTGGCCCCTGGGCCTTCTCTATAGGAATCATGCTGGGGTGCTCACACCCGCCTACAATATCAATCCGAGTATCCACAATGTCCAGGAGGCCTGAGAAAACTACCTTGATTCTTCTTGGGTCATAGCCCAATGATGGGATTTTTGTCTCATTATAATAGATGACTCTGTTTCCACTGAACGCAGATCCATTGATAGAAACCGTGGCTGCAATGTTCTTCAGGAATGAGGCCATCGAGAGACAAATATCAGCCCCGAGAGAAATGCCCAGAAGCCCGATGCCTGGGCCCTTTACCTGGGGGTGTTGAAGCATGTAGTTCAGGGCTTCTTCAAAGTAGTCCAGGAATATGTTGTCAGATGTCTTGGGGAGATCTTCATATTCATAAGCTACAGCCAAGGTGGCAAAACCATGACCAGCCAGAAGGCTGGCTCTGTATTCCAGCAGGCCCCCTCCTAGGCCAAAGATGTCAATGACTCCTGGGAAAGGTCCAAGTCTGTTCTCGAAATAGGTGAAAGTTAAAGGATTTTTACTGGGATTCCAGTTCATTCACCTATGGGTTTATTTCCAATAAGGCGTGTTTAGACATTTCCCTGTGATCCGTGAATAGCTGCTGGCAAGTTCTCACAGTCATGCAACTTGCCCTAGTCTCCATAACTGGCAGGGGAGATACCATGATCACGAAGGTGGTTTTCCCAGGGCTAGGCTTATCCATTGCACTTCGGATGTGCTGACCCCTGTGATTTCCCCAAATGTGGGAAACTCGACTGCATCATTTGTGGTAGTGGGGGACTGCGTTCGCACGCTCCCCTCGGTCCTTGGCTCCTTGTGAGAAAGAATTCACACCAAAGCCTGGTTTGTGATCCAAGTGAGTTTGCAGAGAATAGAAGCAGTTTCAGGTTCTTCAGTAAATGGAACACAAGCCAGACAGAGTCCGCAGCACAGTTTTGGGACTGCAGCCCAGCATGTGATTTCTTTACTGGTTAATGTCTGACAATATTCACTTCATGCATTCAAAGTTGTATGCCACCACAAATTTGTTTGGAAGCAATGGACTGTGGATCAGGAGACTGAAGTTCTAGGCCCTACGTTTCTTCTAACAGGCTGTGTAAGCAAGTATATTATGACATACACTATCATTTCCTTGACCCACAAAACTGAGAACAGTGGTTCTTGACTTTTATCAGCATAACAGATCCTGTGTAATATCCAACAGTTTTATGTTTCCTCAGCACTCTACCCAACCTGTTAAGACAGTGTATGTTTTATAATGGGTGATACGGAAAATAGATGATAAAAGTTACTATGAATTCAACCATGTTCTGAAATGAACTTGTTGTTCATTAATTCCAACAGTAAAATAGTACTGTAGATAGATATCTCATGATGCTTGATGTTCTTTTGGAATATTTGCAATAATTTCGAAAGTGGGGGTTCCTGGTCTCCTTTTGCTAGTAGCCAGGATAGTGTCTTTTCAACTCTTCACACTCTGTATACTTCAGGTTAAAGGCATTGTCTTTCTGTAATCTGTCAGAACAATCACTTTGGTGTCACACCTGCCTCTGATGGTCCTGGTAAAGAGTTTCCCATGTTGCCAGTGCTACAGTGAGTGTGGGGTGCCACACTCATACCTGTAAGGAATACAAGGGAAACTATATGGTGAGTAGAAGAGTGCCATGCCATTCCATGTGGTCAACTGCTCCACTTATCTAAGGGCCAACTTTCTATCATGCAGCATCACTTGGTTTCCCACTGAATAACTGTGGGCTACTACCAAGTGAGGAGCATCCCATGAAGTCCATTCTGACTCACAGTGAACTTACATGATAGAACTGAACTGTTCCCTAAGATTTCTGAGGCTGTAAATCTTTACAGAAGCAGACTGCCTCAATTTTTTTTCCCGTGGAGAGGTTGGTGTGTTTGAGAAGCTGATCTTGCAGTTAGGGACCCGATGCTTAACTCACAGAGCCACCAAGGCTCCTTACCTTGTAAGAATTCTAAATTCTGTGAGAATAACAGTAACCATTTAATCTATGTGCCAGATGAGGTATCAGAAGTTTTACCTATTATCCCTAATCTTAACAATCCCTCTACATGGTAGATATCTCTATTTTACAGATAAAGAAGCTGGTGCTCAGAAATTAAATACCAGATTCAAGATCACATACCTGGTAAGTGACTGAGTAAGAAATATATCTGACTCCAAAGCCACGCGTTTTCAGTATGTCTTAGTGCTAATTGTTCTTCTTTCTTGGAAATACTGTTCATTTGAACTTGACAAAAGTTACAGTCATCAGTTTCTAAGAAGATCTTTCTGCTATTTTGTTTTTGAGACTTGATTTCTTTCCCATCAATCTTTAATCAAATGAATTCTATGACTCAGTGCTGAGCTCATGGAATATAGAATATGTTGAGAGGGCTAAAATATGTATTATTATTTTTTATCCTATTTTCTATCCTCTCCTCTCAACATCTATTTTCCATTTGATTTTTCTATACTGTCTAAAGGTACATTAAAATTCATCCATAATCATTTCTTATGTTTCATACTTCTACAATGTTATGCACATACTCACATTGGGACCTAAGTTAATATACAAAAAGCAAATAGATTCAGGGCAACAGTGTAATTTGTCATGAATAGGGTACAAAAATAAGCTTTAGGATTACTTCAATTTTCGCTGTCTGCATAATGTCCAGCTACTAATGTAATTATGGCAGAATGTATCAAGATTGATACAGCGAAGGATTTGCAGACAATGCAAAGGTTAGTTCTTTGTAGAGTTATCTTTTCTGTGCAAGAGATGTCACAGACTCTACACTTTGTAGAAATGGTCAGTCATGGAAATGCTCCCGGATTCGCCTGTCTTCTAATATTCCCAATCCAGCCGGAACTACCTGGCAACTTAAAATTTTTGCCTTGGGTTGGGTTACTGGTGCCTAATAGACTCTTATGGTTCCAGTGGTGCTAGCAGACAAATATTGGACTGCTAACCACCAGGTTAGAGGTTCAAACACACCAGCAGCTCTGTGGGAGAAAGAGGAAACTATCTGCTTCTGTAAAGATGTAACAAGCCTCAGAAACCCTATATAGGTTTGCTATGAATTGAAAATCGACACACTAGCAGTAGTTTGGTTTTGGTTAATAGACTTTCAGGTTATACTCCTGAGAGGCAGATGGAAAGGATACTACCTGAATACAATTGAAGAAAATATCAGTTTGGGATTCTATGTATGGAAGGAGAAATACCTAATCATACTTATTTTGGCACAAGTAGCATTCTGTTGATTAAAAAACATTTTCAGTATTTATATGATTTCAAGAGAAACGGTGATTTTCTGTTATCTCAACAGTTCTTTTCTTGTCTCGCATTTACATTTTTAAAATGAAATTTTCATTATTCCCATTTCAATTTCTAATGTTATTTTCTATGTTTATGAAGTGATATCCCAGGTAGCATTGTAATAAATTTCCTTTCAGTCTCATGATTGCTTTCAGTGCACAAAATCCAAACAGGAGAGGCTAACTTATGAATACAGGTCTGTTTTACAATAATTCATTTTTATCTTGAAACAAAGATCTGAAATTCAATTTCTTTCCTGTCTCAATATATTTTCTTTCCACAGCCAGGGAAGCTTGCTTTATTATCTTTGCTCAATTTTAATAATTTTGCATTGTGTTTGATAAGATTTTATTTTTATGCTATTAAATTAAGACTTCGTCTTACATATTTTTCTCTCCTTGCAGTTCTACAAGATAACAAAAATTTTTTTTTTAATATTTACCTAAAATATTCACCAAATGTCCTTCTATGATTAGTTGTTATTTGTTCTGTGATTCTTTGATGGAATCCACACAATCTTCATTTTGTGTTCATGATGGATTACTTGTCTGAGCAAATATTAACTTTGCATATATATGTGTCTTTTTGGTCTCAAAGAAATTTATCAACTTGAAGGCCACAGTTACATGAAACAATACCCGAAAGACTCAAGATGGACAAAATGATCATTTACATACACGAAAAACTTATCAAGTCCAAAGGATCCCCTCAAAATTTAAAAAAATTTAAATGATCTCCAAACCATTAGAAGACAAACATAACAAAACAAAACCATGACAGCTGCTCAGTAGCCTTCAGAGTGTATGGCAAAGGAGACAAAGCATATCTCAGTGAAATGACATGTGGAATAATTACCCAAATGAGAATGTTAGAGGGGCACAGGATTGTAAAACTATGAAATATTAAACAGACATTTTAGTGTCATTAACAGAATCTTAGATTGCATTCAGTAATCAATGTAGCTCTTAGATTATTCAAAGTACTTTTAAAAGTGAAGCAATTAGGGACTACATTATTCAAGCAGACTTTTCTCATTATGGTCTTGTTGTTTTGGCACAAATGGTAATTTATAGTAACACTAAGATACATGTCACAAGACAACCTATAACTTAAGGCTATCAGGTTCAATATGCTCAATGATCTCAGTGGAGAAATCACAGTTGGAAACTAATCAAAGAAACACTACTAGTAAGACTCAAAATAGAATAATATACTCAATTGGTGCTTCTTCACAGCCACAAAAACTCTCCAACTCGTAGCAACCACATATGATAGAGAAGAACTGCCCCAATATATAGTCCTAGCTGTAATTTTTACAGGAACAGATTTACAGATCTTCACTCTTGTAGAATGGCTAGTAACTTCAAACTGCCAATCTTTTGGTTAGCAGTAGAGCAATTAATCATTTTGCCAACAGGACTCCTTACAGACATGCATACATACACACCTGTGAATGCACATATCAACCAATTAGTCCACCAGTAATTTAACATTCATTTACTGAGGCCTTACTAGTACCAGCTTGTCTGCAATGTGCTGCTGACAAAGAAAATGTAGTCGTTTCCCTCAAGGTGTTCAATTATACAAAAAGAGATAGCTATGCGAGTACATACAGCACAACATTGGAAATTAAAAGTTAGAAGGTACGGGGTAGTGGCTCTTAAAAGCAGTGATGAATTGTATGAGCCCCAATAAATTGATTAAAAAAAAAGCTAAAAAAAAAAAACCCCAAACAGGTGAAGTAGTGTTAAATATGACCAGTACACTATGTACTTCCCCACACTTAGATCTAGGCAACCCTGAAGAGCAGAATGTGGCAGAAGTGATGAGGTTCTGGAGCGGTCTTGAGAGTGATGGCAACTTCTGCTTTTGTCTTTTTGGAGCACTCTGGGTACAGTGTTAAGAAGCCCATGTTGGGGGAGAAAGAAGCTCAGCTTATGAACAGCATTAAATTTCAGACATATGGGTAAAAGTATATTAGAGCCTCCGGTCCTAGTCCAGCTACTGAATGACTAAGGCACTTAAGTGATCCCAGGGGAGAACAGCAGAAAATGCTTGCTTGAACCCAGTTTTGTTTACCCAAACTAACAGAACAGTAGTAAATAAGAAACAGTCACTGTCTTAAGTCGCTATATTTTTGTATGTCATGGATAATTAGTACAGCAGGTTCACTGGCATTAATGAGAACAATAGCTGAACAGCAAA